ATTTAATTTAAGGGAACAAGCATTAATCAAAGAAATAAATATTATTTAAATAATCAAGGAATCATTAATGTCCGGAGCATTGTTATGTAAAATTCAAAATCACTTTATCTGTGATTATTGCTAATTTACTGAAAGCATTGAATCATCAGTTGAACACTTATTTCAATGTAGAACGTCATCCGCTTCGCTTCGAGAGACACTGATAACAATAATAATAGGTAAATGGGCTCCCTCGACGTAACACTAGTTCGTTAATAGTCTTAGTATTTTGTGACAAATATTAATTGGTTAAAAAATACGCGTGTCAGTTGGGCGGATATAATCACACTTTCGTCCCTCTGCTTTGCTCCGGACAATAATAATCTTATTTCATATATAAATATAAAATCGGCTACACATTAATTTTTTTTTTTGGTTTGTAATCTTAAAGTTAGGTAACAGTATGTCCACTAATATTGCTAAAGGGTCATCCATTTTCGAAGTTTGGATGTTACGAGAATCAGATACAATCCAGGCATTAGCCAAAGCACATGGTCATAGAATAGTATTAGAACAAGTTGTTATTACACTTCAAAAACTTAAAGGTGGTTCCCAGTAAGTTATTTTTCCTTTATTCATTATTGTTTAACAGTAACTTGCCATCAAATATAATGATATATATTTAATATTATTATTACATTTATTAAATTAGCGGGATCATTCACAATCTAGGCCGTCTTTATGCACTTAGTATAATTGATTCAAATCTTGCATGGTATATTACCAACAATCTAATTTCAATTGGAACTGCATCAAAGGTAGAACCATTGATTCGAGAATTAGTTGCAGAATTGGCTCCAATAAGTATGAAAATTATTGATACATTGGGAGTTGATCCACGCGTTTTATATGCACCTATCGCTAATCAATGGGCTAGATTTAATGAAACCGATAACCGCGGTAATTATACTTTTTATCAACTCATATCGTAAATTATGTGTAAATTATATTTAGACTGAATATTAATGATTACTGATTTTTTATTTATTAGGTGAGATATTAAAGGACATGAGAGTTGGTTTGAGAGCCAAAATTTAGGAAATGTTAGTGAACAAGAATTTTTATAGTATTAAATAAGAATTTTAACAAGTATTAATTGTTTCATATTATTCAAGATTTAGTTTTATTGAATATAATATTTTTAAATAATTTTGTTAAGTATAATTAATGACCAATAAAAAATAAAATTCTAAATTTAACTTCAGATGATACAATTTACACCTTTGTCATAAGAATTTTGTTAGACATTTAAATCGACCTTAAACATTTCTAAATTATTAAGCTAAGTTCCAAGGTAGTCTCTTAGATAAGTAATTTAAGAATTAATAAAAAGTTTAGAATAGTACAGTATTTGGATTTAGCATACTAACAAATATATCAATAGCTTTGAACTAGTGTTCCGATCGGGTCGGGTTTTGGCCAACCTGAACCCGATCCAAAATCAACCCGAAAATATACATGTGAACAATAAAAAACCGATTTTATATATATGTAAATAAAATAAAAAAAAAAAAAAAAAAACGAACCGATATTAATATAAATTATGTGAATAAAAAAAAAACCAATATTATATATAAGTTTATGTAAATAATAATAATAATAATAACGAACTGTATTATATACAGTAAGTTAATACTTAATGCTAACCTAAAAATTAATCTTAATGCTAGCCAAAATTAATCTTAATGCTAGCCAAAATTAATCTTAAAGCTAGCCAAAATTAATCTTAATGCTAACCAAAATTAATTTAATGCTAACCTGCCTTATTATTAGTAATTTTCAGGTCAAGTTCAGGTTGGGTTGACTCTTAATTTGAACCTAACTCGAATCTAACTTGAAAATTTTTAGATCAATTTTTCTTAAATCAAATCTAATCTGAACTTTTAAATTGTTTTTTTTAGATTAATCTGATCTGATTAGAACAATACTTTAAATTTTCATATATTTATATTAGATAAATATTTTATAAAAAAAAAATTTGATATAAGATCTGGTGATCTTAGTGTAGTGATTAGGTTGCCAAACTGCTATGCAAAAAGTTTAGAGTTCAAATCTCATTGTTGACAAATTTGAATAATTACCTGAACCTTTGTATTTAACTTATAGTAAACTCTGTTTGTTTCTGGAGTTGTAACCTTATAAATCTTATTGCACTAATATCATCTGGATATTAGGAGTATGACATAACATTACATGAATAAATCTTGATAAAATCTACAAGCAGAGGATCTATATAGTAGAAATTCTAAGTTAGTAAAATAGTATAGTTTTTAATAGTTATACTAGCTAATATTTAATTTGAAAAAAAAACTATTACTTTGAAAATATAGATTGAATTAAATACAAATAAGTCTGTTTTATGAAGAGAATCAGCAATATCAATCTAGCTTGGCAGCTAACTGAATTAGAAAGATTCATCTCATGAAATATCTAAAGAGATTAGTAAACAGAAAACTAGTAGAGAGCTATAGTAGAAACTAGAGTCGCATAAATATTATAAGGGTCTAAGCTAGATGAATCTATGAAATAAGTATGAACTGCTCTAGTAAATATACTTTGAGATTAACTAGAGCTCTGCAAATTCACAATATGTTAAGTAATATGCATTCTAAAAAAATCTAAGCTAAAGTTAGTAAATAGATCTGTAATGAGCTAGCTAGTTTAAGCAGTTAGATATTATAGTGATATTGGTTTGTAATAGTATGAGTTAGTTAAACAGAGTGTTTAAATAGATAACTCACAAGTAGATTACAGATATGATAGTATAGTATAGAACAAATCGAATAGTCTATTGTCTGTATAGTGAACTACTTAAATTAGACAATAACTAAAGTTATATGTATAGCTTGTTATACATTCTTCATGTAATTATAAACTATAGAAGATTACTTTTGTATGACTTTATATATCAAACTAATAAAATCTGCTTAGCTATATAAGCTACTTTAATAAAAAAA